CCGACCTGTGTTTTTGCTCCATTGTTGATATTTAGCAACACACTTGCAGCTTCACACAGCTAAAAAAAATAATAAGAATAAAATACAACAACAACAAAGCCTTTTAGTCCCAAACAAGTTGGGGTAGGCTAGAGATGAAACTCAATAGATTTAGTCCCAAATCAAAAGAAATATATTTCAATTTCAACATCATCTTAAGTTTTTAACATCTAATTACATACTAATACATGATAACATGAACATAAAAAAAAAAAATGTTCATGCTATCATGTATTAGTATGTAATTAGATGTTAAGAACGATGTTGAAATTGAAATATATTTCTTTTGATTTGAATTGCTGTGGAATTTGGTATGGCTTAGGAGTTAGGATGGATTTATGTTTAGAATTTAGGATGCATTGTTGTGTTGTTATCTCGAGTTAAGATGGATTTGGTATGGCTTAAAATTAAGATGAACTGATGTGCTGCGTATATGTAATATTTCAGTTTTATTTATTTTATTTTATTCTTATTTTAGTTTTATTCTTATTTTAAATGTACCAATTACCATATCTGAAATTGGAGTCGGGTCGGAGGCAGGGGGTCGAGGCGGAGGCGGGGAGTCGAGCCTTTGTGTCGGAGCCTTGGAGGTGAGGCGAGTCGTCGAAGCAAGCCGAGGAGCGGCCGGAGCTTTTGGGTCGGACTTCGGAGGTGAGGCGTCGAGCGGTCGAGGCGCGAAGAAGGGACTGTGTCGGACTTTCGCGAGTGTGTATTGTGTTGAGAGGCTGAAGACGCCGGACGGCCGGATATAGCGACTGTGAGAGAGATGCGACGAGCGACGGATGTACGGCTGTGGTGAGCGAGAGCGAGATGAGAGACAGAAATTTCTCAAACCTAATCCCTAATTTACATTACATACTATATACTACAATATATATCTATATCTATATAAATATAAAAAGGTTTGACATTTACTTAAAATAACAAATGAATACCCGCCTAAAATTTTCATTTTTACTTTTATTAGTAATTCTTTTGAAAACTTTTAAGAAGTGTCGGTCATTTTTTAAATTTGAATTAAACCCATCAATAAAATCTGAACAAAATATTAAGTGGATTCACATACCATCCACATACACCACAAATCTTCTTTAATATAAAATCACATCAATTTCCGTAAGATGGAAAAACTATCAGACCATTATATTGTTCCGTATATTAATAAAAAACACATCTCAACAGCGAATCTTCTGCGAAAATCAACAGCTATTAACACAAAATTACACAGCAACAGAAACGATTGATGCAACAATGTCATCCTACCACTATTCACCAAACTTGATAAGCAGAGGACAGAGAGCGGCTCGGCGACCGGCGGCCGCGACTTTCTGGTATGACGACTGTCTGTTCGGATATAAAGCAATTGACTTGCTTGCACGGGCATTTAGTCTTGCTATCCATCTCATTTGATTCTAATGAGAAGATCCCTTTTCCATTTTTCTAAATGTTTGCCAAGACAATATGGTGAGGACCTCTTTAGAGCACAACACTCACACACAATGAGAAAAAGAAGAAAAAGTGTCATCAAATGGGCCTGTGTAGGACATTTGGTTATCAGTGGACAAAATTAAGCTCTTGCATTTTCTCGATTTTTCATTATTTTTTCCCTTTTGTTATGGTTCTTATGATTTTGTTTTATTCACCCAACTCTCATTTGATTGGTAGATGTATTTATTGTTCAATCTTGGCCCACATGCATGCACCACCTATCTCACTTTCAGTCTCCATCAATATGCAAATTAGGAATTAATGTACGCTGATTGCAGAGGTACTGAAAGTGTAAATTTACAAATTTTATTGTCCATGTTTTTGGTTTTTGGTTCAAGTCTTGATGTAAACCAAAAGAATTTGAGTAGTCTGATAACAATTTGAACTGCTGTTATATTAAAAAAATATCGGATAATTAATCACAAATGTTGTCGTTAAGTTGAGTTTACCTTAAAATTTTTTAAGGTAATTTTTTTTATACATTATTTAATAAATGTTATTCACTTTTTTTTTTTGTATTTAATAGCTCAAACCGTGGATTAAATTTACATTTCTAAAATACCCTAATTACGCAGATTGTGTAAATTCGATTGATTTATTTAATTATACTTTCTTATAAAATTATTCTAAAATAATTGTGTTAATGGTAGTTTCTATTTAATTATTTTTTAATAACTATTTTTAGGTCTTTTATTTTTATATATAATAAACGTGAGTCTTGATTTTGTTTTGTACGAAGAGCAATTAATTTCATGACTAAACTGAATATTGTTTATTGAATTTTGTTGACGAAGTAGGAAATTGAATTATTTTGTATACTATATATTGATCCAATATACCCGCTTATAGTAATAATGATATCTCAATATTTTTTTTCATATTGTTAAGCATTTTACTCGATAATAAGGAAAGAAAATTTGGGTAATATTACATTCAGTTCTTATTTGTAAACGTGAGTAGAACATATCAATTTATTTGGTGTGTGTGTGTGTGTCTATTGTATATATAAAGGTTTGTTTTACTTAAATCACATTGTAGTCAAATTGAATTTCTAAATAAAATTTTTAAAATGATATTTATTTTGAGATAAATATTGTGTCACTTATTATCAGTTACTTGCACCGTACGAGTCGTGTACTAATTTTAAATAAACATATTTTATGTAATTTTGCACAATTTTGATAAAATCGTATTATATATTGATTCCATGTTTCTAATTTATAAATATTACTCAATGAGCATTTGTAATTTATAAATATTAATGAATATTTCTTACCCGTGCATCGCACAGGATTTGTACTAGTTTTTAATAAAAAAAAAAAAAGTAAAAAATAAGGCCAGGGCGGGCCAGGGCGGGGCGGGGCAGGTCAGGGCGGGCCGGGATAAAACAACACCAGACCTGTAAAACAAAAACTATCAATTTAAGACCCTGGTAAAACTAAAATCACTTGTTTGTCATATTTTTTTTGTTTTATATAGATTCTTTCAGTTGTAAATTTTTATATTTATGTAAAATAAATGATCTGGAGTACAAAAGTTGGTGATATTTTTCTTCTATTTTTATTTATACTATTCTTAATTATATTTAGGGTTTGATTGTATATCAATTCTACCGTAAATATCTCACTCAAAATATAAATTTAACTCAATTTTAACTCAACCCTACTATCTTCAATATTATCAATATAATTAATTAATATTAACCAATTATTATTACACATCACATCAACTTTAATTCACTATTCATCAACT